CTTCTTCTTCTTCTTCTGCTTCTTCTTCTTCTTCTGCTTCTTCTTCTTCTTCTGCTTCTTCTTCTTCTTCTGCTTCTTCTTCTTGTAATTTGCTATAACCACACCTGTTGGAACATCAGATGGACTCACATCATCGTAGTGGTCTGGCACGAGATTGACGTTGCCAAAGAGGATCATCTTATCCTTGATATCGGGAACTTGCGCCATCGTGTTCGACTGTCGGATAGGTAACATGCAATGTGAAAACGGTATAACTGGATTCTTGGGAGGACGCCGAAGGATGTGATTGTTAGTCTATGGCGATGGCTTCAGGTGGAATTGTCTGGTCGTTGGATATTACGATGAAATGGGGTGTGGGAACCATCGCCATCTACTCCCTCGTCACTTGGATCACTTATATTCGCCCCTCAGGAACCAGGAGGACGAGGGGCAAGCCGTTAAGCTATCCGCATGTCGGGTCCTTCGTTTGATCATGTTCCCTATATCCGTACCTACTCCCCTCCTCGTTCCTACGCTACGCTAGCCAAAGAACCACCAAAGCACCACCTCGCGTCTCGATATCCAGGCCTTAGTGACGGGACTACTAACAGCCTTTTACGGAGTGGTCCGAGTAAAGATCGTCCTTCGGTCCTCTAGCCCTGGTAAGCGGGGAGTCTGGCAAAGTCACGACACCCAAAGCCCCCCACATAACTAATCGGTGCACGTGTACCGTGAGACCGACCCCTTACTAATAACGTAAAACGGTGGAAACGTTTGTACCTATCCGATCCGTTTCCGCCCTCGGGACGCGTTATCCGATTGGATCACCCCACGAACAAAGATTCCCTGAACGCCAATTGGCTAATCCTAGTTATTGGACCCCCTGAAAAGGAAAAGGGACACCGTGCGGTAATATTCACCGAGAAGTACTAATACATAAGGTACGTATCTTAGAGTTACAGTCTCCGAACTAGGACGCTGCTTTTCCATCCAAGTTCTCGCCCCCTAGACGGTCGACTGCTGAGCGTACTCGGATCTTGAGTGCCGTGATGTGTTGGTCCTCACAGCTCTTGATCACATCCAATTCCAAGACGTTTCCTGGGCCTAACAACTTGTTAACGCCCCAAGGACGCAGTCAGAAACCGCAGTTTCCATACGTACGGCATCGGAAATAGGTGGCAAAGGGCCAAGTCAGGCCCATATTTGCTACAGCATTTATCGATACACCCAGTCCCGTCAGACGAGCTAATATATTATTACCATTATTTCCTTCCCAAGCCGGAACGTAACCAGTGGATATCGTGCCCAAGCAATAGAGGTATCTTTCCAACAATTCCCATTGCCTCCCAACCAAGTACACCGTGAAGATAATTATAACCCAGAAAAGGTATCACTTGAAGTATTCATTCCACGTAGTCGGCCTGGAGTTAGTTAGGCCAGACTTGCAGTACGCGTCTTTGCCCATTTAATGGTGCTTGTTCTTGTCCGCATTCTCGTCGTTTTCCAAGAACACCTCGATCTTGTCGTTCATCCGGGGGCCGATTTCCTGGCAGCAAATGCAGGCTGTTCATGCCGAGTTAGCAAGACTGAAGGGAAGGTGATGGAGGGGGGGTTGAGGGAAAAAAAAGGAAAAAAAAAAACTCACCAATAATGCAAATCACGCCGAAAGAAAGCGACGAAAGCGCCGTCGTCCTGAGACCCACGACATAGCTCTGCTTGAACGCCTGGCCAGCCGCAACCATAATGTCGGTCGTGATACCGGGCACCTGCGACAGGGCAGCCGAACCCAGGGGCAACGCCGCCATGAGGGCCCCGACGGACGACTCGGGCAGACCCGCAGCGATGGCGGCAGCGGGCACGATGCGCGCGGCTTCCGTGCCCTGGACGTTGATCAGGATGGTCTGGTAGACCGAGATGGCGACCGAGCCGCCGGCAAAACGCGCCACACCGGCCAAACCGCCGGAGATGCCCAGCTCGTGCTGGTCGGTGCCGAACTGGATGAAGGCGATGCTGAGGTACTGGGCCCAGCCGAAGCCGACCTCGGAGAGGAAGATCATGGCGATCATGAGGCCCTTGCGCTCCGGGTTGCCGAGGGCGAGGAGCGCGCCGAAGACCACCATGATGACGCAGCTGCCCGTCAGGGTCCAGCGCCAGTGGCCGATCTTGGAGCCGAAGAGCGTCAGCAGGACGGCGCCGAAGGTGAGGCCCAGGTTCTGCGGCAGGGTGAGCACGATGCTGTAGCGGAAGTCGGTGGTCTCGTCGGTGAAGAAGACGTTGATCATGGTGGGCCAGATGACGTTGAGGCAGTAGTAGAACATGGTGATGACGAAGCCCGCCACGAAGGGGGCCGTCAACCGGCGGCCATGGTCGCGGGTGAAGATGCGCGTCGGCGTCAGGGGCTGCTTAAGGGGCATGAAGGTCTCCCAGAGGCCAAAGGCGGTCATGAGGCCGAAGCCCGACACGAGGGTGCCGATGACGATGGGGTCGCTGGACGACCGCGTCGTGGTGTAGACGATGCCCGTGAGGATGAGGGTGGTGGCGACGATGAAAAGGAGCGCGCCGACGTAGTCGAGCTCGCGGAGGGCCTGGCGCGCAGGCAGGCCGCGCGGGTGGGCGGGCGGGAAGTAGTAGAAGAAGAGGCCGGCGAAGGAGAAAACGACGGCGATGGCGGGGCTGTAGAAGAGCCAGCGCCAGGCGTCGCCGTTTTCGATGGAAAAGCGGCCGGCCACGGGACCCACGACGACGGCGAAGTAGACGCCGATGTCGGCGAGCACGATGGCCGAGTGGCGCCACTTGTTCGGCAGCAGCTCGGGGAGGGCGAAGGCGGCGAGCTGGGCGTTGCCACCGCCGAAGCCGATGAAGGCGCATGCCACGATGACGGCGGTGTTGCTCTTGGCCGTGCCGCCGACGATGAAGCCGATGAAGAGCAGGACGTTACCGCCCACGATGAACCATCGCCGGCCGAACAGGTCCGAGTTGGCGCCGCAGATCATGAAGGCGATGGTCACGCACATGGTGTAGACGGGGATGTACCACGAGGCGGCCGAGGCGTCGCCGAGCTGGGCGGCAACGACGCCCTGCACGGAGCTCAACGAAGGGACGATCCAGAAGGAGATACCATAGGATAGGGCGAGAATCTGCATTTACACGGTCAGCCTGCATGTCATTCCAGGGAGAAGAAAAAGAAAAAAAAACAAGTCTCACCCAAACCACGATCCATGTCTTAAAGGTGACATGGTACTGAGCGTCATCTTCCGGTACGTAGGCGACTTCCTTGCTTTCGGCATGTGTAACATCGTGTGTCTTCTCCACGTCGATCCCGGACTGCTCCTGGTTGCCGGCAGGAGCGTTGGGCTGCGGGCTGTCAGCCTCGACGTGCTGGGTCTGAGCAGTTTCAGTGGCAGTCATGTTGACTACGCGCTGGCTCGGCTCGGTTTGTGGCTAGCTGAACTTGAGAAGGGTTTGTTGTTCTACCAGTCCAACCAAGAACGGTGTAAGAAACAAGGAGGAAAAAAGAAGAAAAAAGAAAAAGTCGTTACCAAGTAGACCGCTTCTCAGCCTTGCCCTCTGTGCAGACCCTCTGTGCAGACAGGCCATCTTTATGAGAACGAGCTCGAGGCCATGCTGCACGTTCCCGCCGCTCCAATTGCCGGAGCCGCGGCTTAAAGCAAAAGCAAGTGGAGTCGTGGACGTTCCGGGTTAGTGGTGCTAAGTTGGCTAACCTTGATCTGCAAAGCTTCAGATCATAAACCAGGCAAATCATAATTAGCTTCGTACTTTGCACTTTGTACTTGGTAGCGTTGAGGCCCTTTGAGACCAAGTCTCAGGTGAAGGCGACTGTTCATCTGGATTGTGGCCGCCCCATTCAACGGGGCATCATGCGTCCCAGCGTCCCAGCGTCCCAGCGTCCCAGCGTCCCAGCGTCCCCTTGGCGTCGGGACTCTTGGCACGTTGGTCGACGCGCTAAGTCTTTCTTGCTGTTCATCTTCCCCCCCTCTTTTCCCCAGGAAGAACCCCAGATTTTGGCAAGTTGCGTGCAGGAAAAGAGGTGGGGTGACAAGCCTTCGGAAAACAATCTCCAGAGTCAAGAAGGTCAGGTCACCGACTCGAGAACCAGAGCTCCTGTATACGTTAGACCAACTAGGGAGACTAGGGAGAAGCTAGGGGAGCACGGCCACGCCACCGGATTCAGTGCGGAACTGGTTCCAAGCTGTCGGCAACGCTCAGAGTTGAGAAGGAGCGCAGAGCTAGTCGGGACAGCTGGGGGGAATAGCCAAAGTGGTTAGCGAAGGTGCTCAGCGTGTTTGCTCACCCACTAGTTTCTAATTAGGCCTCGTCCACATTTCTTGCTGAACAGTCTAGTCTAGACAGTCCGTCAGGAAAATAGACTCCGTTGACCGGAAGAACATCATCCAACGCCGCAGATCGCGTGACATCGAATTCCATGGGTGAAAGGAATGACTGAATCTCCAATCAGTTCAACCAAAACACCTTGCTCTTTGCATCCCCTGTAAGAGTTACATGTACGATGAAGACGGGAGAATTCGTACGGAGTAGAGGCGATGCAACCCCTCCCCTCACGGTGAACAGAAGACATCTTCCCGTTTGAGATGGTCTTGTCGGGGCTATCATCGGGGATAGAGGGTGCGCTCAAACCTGTAAAAAGGGCTGGTCTGGTCTGGCCTGCACCGAGGAAGTGATGGGAAGACGGAAAAATCTGAAGCCCAAGTCTTTGCGTGACCATTCTTCGTTTCGTGATCCCAACCATCACCCAAGGCGAACTACCTCGGTGCAATTTTCACATTTTGTTTCTTCTTTTTTTCAATTCGATTTTTTTTCTTTTTGGTCTTTTCCCCCCTCTCTTCCGGGACCATGACGGAAAAGAAAGTCGCCATCGTCACCGGTGCCTCGGTAGGTCTGGCCTTGATTTGATGACGCTGGTATAAAAGTCAACGCCCACTTAGGCGGGAACGAGGGAGAGAAAAAAATGCGATGATGCCACTAACACGACAAACTAGTCGGGCATCGGCGAAGGCCTGTCGCGCGATCTGGTGGGCAAAGGATGGCATGTAGCCATGGCCGACCTGAAGAAAAACGACGCCTTGATAAAAGAGCTAGGAGACAGCGTCAGCTTCCACGAGACCGACGTGGCCGACTACGACAGCCAGGCCAAGACGTTCCAAGAGGTGTTCGGCAAGTACGGCAGGATAGACGCGCTGCTGGCCAACGCGGGCATCGTGGACAAGGATTCGGTGTTCATCTTCGACCACCGCGATTCCGACACGGTCCCGCCGAAGCCCAACCTCATCTGCACCGACGTCGATTACAAGGGCGTCGTGTACGGGACGCAGCTCGCGATCCATTTCATGCGGAAGAACAAGGTTCCCGGGGGGAACATCATCGCAACCGGTAGCATCGCGGCGATTCACCCTCATGAGACGTATCCCGAGTATGACGGGGCGAAGGCGGCCGTCTTCAATTTTGTGCGCGCCGTGTCCCGGGTTCTCAAGAATGTGCGCATCTGTTGGAGTTCCCCGCCTTGCTGAAAACGACATGGAGGGATCAAGATGGTCGACACTGACTTCTGCTGACCGCGTTTTCGATATACAGAAGGAGAATATCCGCATCAACGTGGTGCTACCCGGCGTCGTAGCCACCAGCATTATCCCGCCAGAGATGGTCGCCGCGGTGTCCCCCGAGTGGTGAGACACGCCTAAGTCCTGACAAAGGCGGCAGGGGCCTGAGTTACTGACGACGAGACAGTCTAACGCCAATATCGACGGTTGTGGCCGGGTATAACAGGTTCCTCGAGGACGAAAGTCTGTACGGGCAGGCGCTCGAGGCCTCGGCAGACAAGTTGCTACTGGTCCCATCGATGGAGCATCTCAACGGGCGGATAACGAAGAGGGCTGTGACGGTGTGGGATCCGTTGTTCAAGATGCTGCACCATGAAAACTCGGGACTGCCAGACGCCATTCCCTGTGGAAAGGAAGGTGCTTTTGGGGGTGTTTGAGTTGAGCCTGGGTTGAGCCTCCAGTCTCCAGTGTTGCGAGCAAGTACTTCCGGAATGGAGCTTTCGATGATGCACACGCTGGAAACAACGGCTTCACCACTACGTGTAGGACGGTCGGCATGGAGTCCTGGATGGATCCTCAAGCAATGCTGTTCCCTCAACTTCATAAAATAAGGGCTCGGTTCAGCCCAAAAACCATTCCAGCTGTCCATCTCGACAGTCTTCAGTCTGCTACTGATTAGTACTCTGTGACAAGATATCGAGCGAGGACGAGGCCTTTCGGCTTCATTCATGTCTCTTCTGCAGATCAGCTGAACCGACCGAACACTTGTCCTCTTGAAGAACGTCTCGGGGCTATCAACGCCGGACCCCTCGTTGGCATTGATCAACATGTCGACGAGGGAAGCTTCAGAGCATACGGGGGTGGATGACACGCATCGTAAAGAGGCTCGTAACGAGATGTACTGGTACTGTAGGTGAGGGTAAATCATGCATCTTAGAGCGGCTTTGAGCAGATACAAAGTGCGTTGATGCCCTCCGCCTCTTGGATGCAGTCAGCTCGCTGGTCGACTGCACTGCATTCGTCGACCATGGAGGTTCGGGCCGTTGGCGACAGAGCTCCATTGATCGACGTCATCTCCAATGGCATTCGTAATCCAATGGTACGTACGTATGGTTGCAGTGCATATTCGTAGTCCGTCTCAAGTTCCTGATGCAGCGGAACGTGGGACGCCAGTCGTGATGGGGGGATGAGAAAAAAAAACAATTACAAGTAATAATAAATGATTTGTGGGTAACGGGGTCTGGGGTATCGGAGTTTCGGTCCTGGTCTCCCCTGAAGAAAAAGAAATTTGATGCCTGTGACTAAGCTACGATCGGCTGTGTGGAGGTGGGCCGATATTCAACCGATCGCTGCCGACTGGATAGGGTAGGGCACAGCCACTTTGGTACCTTAGCGAGTGAATCCGTACCTTAATATGAGGATATTGCGGACAGGGGTACCTAAGGTAGGTATCAACGGTAACGCCACAACGGCTCAATCTCCACTGCCATGTTGCTGCATGGAGTACAACGTAATAAAGTACCTAAGTACGAAAACTCCGTACTTGCCCTTCACGATTCAACTTGCAACTTGCAGCTCCTCGACCTCATCATCGCCGGATTCCAGCGGCCTGTGCTGCCACTCTTTCAACCCCAGCCATTATGCCATCTACATATCCCCCCGGACGCCCATGAACAACTCATTAGTCTGAAACGTCACTCATTGAATCCGGGTCAACGACCGAGAGAGACCAGGGAGATCCCCCTCATGCCCTCACGGGCGATCTCATGAGGCCTCTCCACTTCCCCGGAGGACCTGTCTCCGTAGATGCCAAGCTCCCATGCATCTTGTGGATTAGCGAGCTTTCTTGGTCTATCTGGAGATCCTCGATCGGGTATAGCTCGATTCGCAATTCACTAGGAAAGAGCATACCGTACCCCGAACCGCCTCTTCCATACCAGACTAATGCCAGGGCCCATGTTATTGCCAAACCTGTCAATCTGTCGTCAAGCAGGGCAGATTCACTCCATCTGCTGTCTCTTTCTGGATTCCCGGCCGAACTCCCCGACTGATCAACGTTTCTCATTCTCACAGAGGCGAGTCTGGGGGCATGACGATAATCCCGCGATATGGAGATGATGGAGATCCCTACTACCTGAGGGTCTGAGGACGATCGCGACTGCCAGCTGCGACTGCGGCTGCGACTGCGACCTATTCTCCAGATCATGTCGCTTTGGAGACGCTTTCGGCCCTGGTTGCTCTCTTCGTGTCTTCCGAAATCTACCAAGAATGACAGCTTCCATGGCGATCTCGGAATCACGGTTAGACCATCCAGCTTGGCATGGGTATATAACCATGAAGACCCCTTCCCCCCTCCTTCTTCACCATGCGTTCTCACCACCGCCGTCGTCGTCGTCATCCCCTTCGTTGGAAATTCTTCTTAGCTGTTCCCACAGCTCGTCGTCGCCATGACCGCGAAGAACCTCCTCCTCACGGCTGCCGCCCTCGGCACGGCCATGGCCTCGCCTCTCAAGTGCAAGAGCGGCGCCTACGAGGGCAACCCCTTCGAGGGCATCCAGCTCTTCCCCGACCCTTACTACGTCGATGAGATTGTCAACCTTGCCATTCCCGCCATGAATGACACCGAGCTCATCCGCAAGGCCGAGGTCCTCACCGAGGTTTCTACCTTTCAATGGCTGTAAGTGGGCTGTCCTTAACAGTCTGTATTCTTACAGTCTTGTACTCAAAACCAATTCATACAACGATACTAACGCAAAACAGCGACATCATCGACAAGATTGAGCTCATGAACACCACCCTGCACGAGATCCGCGAGGCCAACAACGCCGGTGCCGACCCTCCTTACGCCGCCACCCTCGTCATCTACAACTTCCCCGACCGTGACTGCTCTGCCGAGGCCTCGGCCGGTGAGCTCCACATCGACCAGGACGGTGTCAACCGCTACAAGAACGAGTACATTGAGCCCATCCGCGAGCTCGTCGAGGAGTTTTCCGACGTTCGGATCATCTTTGCCTATGGTGAGCAGTCTCTACCCATTTAGCCGCCGCCACCACCACCACCACCAGCAACCCGTCCATCCCTCCCCACATAACGGTCTACTGACACAAAAGCATGCAGAGCCCGATGGTCTTGCCAACCTCATCACCAACATGGGCGTCCCCAAGTGTGCCGACGCCGCCCCTGTCTATCGCGAGGTGACCGAGTACGCCCTCTCCACCCTCGACTACCCCAACGTGGCCATCTACATCGACGCCGGCCACGCCGGCTGGCTCGGCTGGGAGGGCAACCTGGCCCCCACCGCGGCCGAGTACGCCCAGGTGTACCGCAACGCCGGCAGCCCCCGCGCCGTCCGCGGCCTGGTCACCAACGTGTCCAACTACAACGGCTACAACCTGACCGAGCCCCCCGCCTTCACCGACCCCAACGTCAACTGGGACGAGTCCAAGTTCCACGCCGCCATCGCCCCGCACCTCGAGGCCGAGGGCTTCCCCGCCCATTTTATTGTCGACCTCGGCCGCGCCGGCCAGCAGCCCGGCGGCCGCGACGAGTGGGGCCACTGGTGCAACATCAGGGACTCCGGCTTCGGCCCCCGCCCCGACATCGACACCGGCATCGACCTCCTCGACGCCGTCGTCTGGGTCAAGCCCGGCGGCGAGAGCGACGGCACCAGCGACCGCAGCGCCCAGCGCTTCGACGAGGTGTGCCAGAGCTCTTCGGCTTTTGTCCCCGCCCCCGAGGCCGGTCACTGGTTCCAGGAGTACTTTGTCATGCTCCTCGAGAACGCCAGCCCTCCTCTGTAAATTACTTTTACTGTATTGAGACGGCTGTCTCTGTGATGCACTAGAATAGAGTACAATAAATGCAATGCAATACGATACTGTACGGTACGATACAAGACATAGAGCCACTTTGAGCCCTGTCTCACCTATGCGATCCATGGATGTAGGTACGATGCAAGGGAGAAGCACTGCAGAATGCCTGCATATGCGCGCCATGGTAAGACACGTATTTTCTAGGGAATGTTGGGGTTAAAAGCATTTTCGGGTTGTCCGAGAAGAGGGGGAAACCGACTGTATGTTAATTGATCTTAACTATCTATATATTTGAGAGATGCTTTTGAATTCTAATGAGCTTTTGATACCTTGTCGCCCATCATGGGTCGACCACTCAAGGAGAAGCCAAAAAAAAAAAAAAAAAGGAAAAAAGGAAAAAAGGAAAAAAGGAAAAAATAAAAAAAATAAATAAATAAATAAATAAAAAAAATAAAAGATAAGAAAGTCCAGACGGCCTTCAACTTGGCCCTAGGTCCTTGGGAACTCGTCGCCTTTGCTCTTCGAACCTGCAATTCTGTCAGAATGCTCTGCCTGTCACTGAAAGGGATAATGCTAAAAGCACATTGAGACCCCAAGACCATGGACAAAGAAAAGGGGTAATAAAGTACCTCCACCGACGACGGTAAGGGGGCAAGATGCTAGATGCTCATGTCGTCCCAGTTGAACCCGGCTTCAGTGAGCAATCGTCAGAGCTGTGCAAGGCTCCCATTGATAGGCAAGTCGGCCTCATCCATGTCGAAGCTCGAATCGGGCGCCAAGCCCATAGACTCCTGAGAAGATGACGACGCCGAGACGTTGCTGGCTGAGGCGCATGCATGGTCTTCCGGGTTCACAGTACCGCATCTCTCGCGGTGGTATGCGAGGCGTTCATTAGGTCGGTCCGTGGCGAGGAAGTGCAGGAATGCGAGGTCTGTTGTACACTCTCCGTGTCCTGCGGCACCCGGAGAACCGTCAGGGCCAACCCCTCCTCCGGGTTGGCTACGAGCGTCGTGTCCCGTAGCTGGGGCGGTCATGACCCTTCGTGGGACTCGAGGATGCTCCAAGATGATCTCGTTCGCGGTAGATATAGCGTCCGTTTCACCCAAGGAGAACAGGCCCAGGGCTCGCTGTTCGTGTGGTTCGGGGCACTTGAGATAGGCCTCGAGAGCCCAAGACAGGGTGGTGTCCCCTTTCTCGCGCTCCGTGTCCGACTCATCTCCGAAGTAGGAGAGGGAGGACTCGGTCATGGACAGGGCTGAGCCCACTTCCTCAGGCAGGTCCTGCGAGACAGCTGCTGTGCTGGAACGGCGGCGGGGACGCGAGGCTGGGTTGGGTTGGCGGTTCCATGGAGCCTCGTTGGCGCCAGTAGGGCTCCCGGTGTCTTTAGACGAGGTAGCCATCAAAGCTGCGTCGGATGGGATGAAGTATATTGAAAGGGGGTCAGGTGGGAATGGTCGTGTAAGTAAGAAGTTATGGAACTTGACGGCTACCAAGACTCAAGGATGAACGAGACAAAGACAGAAAGGGGGTCGGAGACGACATCTTTTATAGACGGTATGGGGAAGAGAGAAGAGCCTCCGTCTCTGGATTCTAGCCTCGTCGTAAAGAGTTTTCCAGTCGCCGAGCCATCAAGAGAAGCGCAAATCGTAGCAGAGTGCGCACGGACAAGAAGAGCCTTGCTGGCGGCCGCAGTCGCCAACACCGTTACACCACACAGAAATAAGCATCTATTAGGCAACAAGACATCATGGAGGGAGGGGACAGTAGAGAGGAAGAGAGAAAGCGGTGACCGCAACCGCAACCGCAGCCCCCAGAGTCACTGACATGGCAACAGAGTAATGTTCACGCGGCAGAGAACTTGGTATAAACACCTTCACAAGAGAGAGAGGGAGAGAGAGATAGATAGAGCAGTGGCCGCGCAGCCTTACGAGTCAGTGACATGACGACAGGACATTATCCACGTGGCGGAGAAGCGGTGGGGCTGACGGCACTGGCGTTCTTCATGTCGACGCACGAGATGAGAGTCTCCGTCCTCGGTCCGGGCGAGAATTTTCCTGCAGTTCAAGATTGTCAATTTGACGCTAGAAGGGTAGCCGGCAGGACGAGGCTGGAAGCAAAGTGAGTGGGGCGGTCTGAGTGGCATGGAAGGGGATCTGCATTCTGATCGACCGGAGAGCCAAATTGCAAGGTAGTAGGTAATTATGTCCAATGCCCATGATCTGCATGGCGGTCCAAGGCCAAGCCAATGGGACTTTGGCGGTGAGAAGGGGAGAGTAGTAAAAATAGAAGAAAGTAAAAAAAGGTGGTGGTTTTGTGTTGGCGTCAGGGATCTTCCAGGCCTTATTACGGTCGTAGGAAAACATGAAGGGGAAAGTGAAGGTCAAAATAATTAAAGGCCAAGGCCAAGGCAAATGATTTGCGCCTACAAAGGCACGTCATGTTTCATGCATCGCGACGGACCGCCGTCGTGCCCCTGTGTGTATGGATCCGTCCAGGTTGGACTTGGGGAAAGGGGGGTGAGCGGAGGGAAAAGGGGGGTGGGGGGTCGTTGGGCGGTGAGACCGGACATTGTTATCATGGGAGTCAAATGGTTGTTTTCTTAGGCGAGCAAGCACACCTTCATTTCCGTCATGCGGATCTTTCTTACTGCCTTGCTGTCTTTCTTTCTTGTTGTCTTTTTTTTCACTCCCCCTTTTTCCGGTTTAGTGGTGTCGTGGTTCTTGGCTTGCAGGGGTTAGGGCGTGGAGTCCTAGCTTCAGATATGAAGAGGTTATAAGAAAATTTTGACTAATTTAACACGGCTGGCTGATGATTGATCGATATTGCAGTGTATTTTGTTGGGCGTTTAAAGTAAAACGAGGTGTGAGACAGTAACATGCCATCGGCTGGCTAGAAGAAGAAACGGATTGGGATAGGATGCCTTAGATAATGGATAAGGAATAGATGGGTAAGGTGAGGTGTAATTAAGGTCCTTTGTCGCTCGGTGAAGATGGGATGAACCACGTGCCGTGATGACAAATCACTCCGAAGTACCTTACGAAATGCCTAAGGTAGGTGAGGTTCAAGGAGTAGCGGTATCCCGCATCCCCCCCTTCGGTCCTCCGCAAGCGCCTATCCCATTTAGGGCGCGCTGCCGAGGGCGTTCCTCGGCTAGGAAATTAGCGTCTATGCCCAAAGTCCCGGTACATCGTGAGATCGTGGACTACTGCTATGTCGCTAGAGGTACTATCTAGGAAGCTAGCCATTATAATTAGCTGGGGGGGTACCTAAACGATACCTAAGACTGCCCACGTATCGTATGCCTCTACGGACTCGAGCAGGGCTCTATATATTAAAGCCCTTAAGGGCGTAGGCGGCTTCGGACAAGGGAAGGACATAGTGAGATTTTAAGGCTGGAGATTAATATAAATATCTTAAAATAGCAGCGAATTCGTACGTTAAAGCATCTAAGGTGAGTCGGATAAAAATTCTTCGTCTTCCCTGTGTCCACGATCTATACCGGGACTTTAGGTACAGACGCTAATTTCCTAGCCAAGGAACGCCCTCGCCTAAATAGGATAGGCGCTTACGGAGGACCGAAGGGGGGGATACGGGATACCGCTACTCAGGTTCAAGGTACCGTATGCCTGGTACCGAGTCCGTCCCATACAACCGGGTCGCAAAGAGCACAGGTAAGCGGGAAGAGACTAGGTACAACATACAGAGTCTAGCCCGCTGCGATTGTACGGGCAGGCCGTACTCAGTACTTCGTCCTGACGACTCCTTGGCATGTACGGAGTAAGCGTCTTAGTAAGTAGTGTACACTGTATTAAGTAATCATAATAACGGCACTAGGTACTGGCTAGCGGCCAAGCCACCCGATACACCCGGATGCATGCTAAAACCCGCTGTAGGTACAGTACCTAAGGTACCTTAAGGTTGTCTTCAACTTCTCACCACCCCAGGACCAGGACGACGCTAACATCCCACCCCTCCTCACCGTCTCGTGGTCTCTTCTTACTTTTTCTTTTCCTTATAATTTGTAAGAGATTATTTTACCCATACTTCGTATCATAACGCATTCTGTAGAGAATTCCCCTTCTCTTGATTTACTTATAGGTCATATAAGGCCTCGTTGATCGAGTCTGAACGATCTTAACGACCATCTTACACGCCATCGCCCGGATTTTCTTTTCTTTTCTTTTCTTTTGCTTTCATTGTATCGATACTCTACACCGTACATCACTCTCATCCCCCACCATGCTAGGCAAACCCCGAAGCACCCAGGGCTGCTGGACCTGTCGTCTTCGTCGCAAAAAGTGCGACGAGATCAGGCCCATGTGCCAGGGATGCAGCGCCCTCGAGATCACTTGTTACTTTGGCGATTCCAAGCCCAAGTGGATGGACGGTGGCCCACGTCAGAAGGAGATGGCCACGGAGCTCAAGCGCCAGGTCAAGATACAGGCAAACCACCGTCGGGAGCGCAAGTATCTCCAGAACTTCGAACTTGCCGCCTCCGCCCTGGACGACTTTGATCTCGCTTCGCAGCTCGATGATTCCAATTCCGACCCCGACTATCTCTCCGTCCCCCCGCCTTGTACCAAGACCTCCTCCCTTCACAGCGATCCAGGCTCTGTCGGTACTAGTAGCAGCGTATCCACCGCCGCTACCACTCACAACGGTGCAGCCGCCCCTTCGGACTCTCACTCGGCCGCCACCACCGCCGTCACCTCCAGCATGGCCCAGATGACCCTCCCGCCCGGTCACGAACTACAGTTCGAGAACCCCCCTGATCTGTTCGCAGCTTGGATCCGCCCCCACGCGGCCCGAGACGACGAGCCGCGTGACCTTGACGACGAGAACGACAGCAACCTGGTCATGGTCTACCTCGACCACGTCTTCCCCTTCATTTTCCCTTTCTACAAGCCTTCCCTGCTCGAAGGCGGCCGCGGCTGGCTCCTCACCCTGCTCCGCTCCCACAAGGCCGTCTACCACACGGCCCTGAGCCTCAGCTCCTACTTCTTCGGCGTCGTCCTCGAGGGGGCCGAAGGGTCCTCGGCGCCCTGCATGGCCCGCGCCCGACAGCTCCTGCAAGAGCGCCACAGCCTCGCCCTGCAGGAGCTGCAGGCCGACATGGCCGCCATCAACACCAGCGGCGTCGAGGGTCGGCTGCGCGAAGCCGTCCACGTGCTGAACAGCATCATCCAGCTCCTCGTCTTTGACGGCGCCGTCGACCACTCCACCAACGGCGTCATCCACGTCGACGCCGCCCTCTCCCTCTTCCGGCACATCATCCCGCAGCCGCACCTCTGGGCCGTCCGCGTCGACCAGATCGGCTTCGACCGCACCATCATCCCGCCCGACCGCATCCGGCCCTGGTCCCTCGAGCAGGCCGCCCTCAGGACCTTCGGCGCCTCGCTCTTCCTCATCGACGTCCTCACCGCCACCAGCGCCGAGCGTCGGCCCCTGCTGCAGGACTGGCACGCCTCCGCCCTCGACCTCGACCAAGCCCGCGACCCGGACATGGTGAACCGCCCCACCATCCGCCTCGAGGAGCACTTCGGCTGCCAGTCCTGGATCGTCCACCTCGTCGGCGAGGTGGCCATCCTCGACGCCTGGAAGAAGGAACACCGCCGCAACGGATCCCTGTCCACCACCGAGCTGGTCACCCGCGCCGTCGCCATCGAGCGCATCATCCGCGACGGCATCGCCTGCCTCGACGGCCGCTGTCCCCCGGAAGCCGGCTACGGCCGTCTCGGCCAGCCTTCCGCCCCGCACCCGCTGCACCCTAGTGACCCTAGTGATCCTAGTGATCCTAGTGATCCTAGTGACCCTACTACTGCTGCTGCTGGCCAGCCCGGCAAGAAAGCATCGCCGTCATCACCGTCATCGAGAATGAGATCCACCTGGCCCCACAAGATCCACGACCGCGAGGACCGCCCTCTCGTCGTCGCCCACACCAAAGTCTGGGCCTACGCCGCGCTGGCCTACCTCAGCGTCGTCGTCTCCGGCTGGCAGCCCGCGTGCCCGGAGATCGTGGCCAACGTGCAGGCCGCCGTCGACTTGTTGCGCGGTGGGAACCGGTGCGCCGACGGCGGCCGTCCCCTCTGCATCCGCGCCCTGGCCTGGCCTTTCTGTGTTGTCGGGTGTCTCGCGCCGGCGTGCTACGAGGACCTGTTTCGGGCTATTGTGTGCAACACGGACCCTCTGAGCCGCTTTGGCTCCATTAAGACCGCCATGATCGTGTTGGAGACGGTTTGGGCGAGGAAGGAGGTGCTTGATGAGAATTGGGATGTTGCTGCTTGTCTTCAAGTTATGGGTAACCCCGTCATTCTCATCTGATCGCATATCAACAAGCCTCGTCACGATACTGTCTGAAGATCCATCATCCTTTTATTTATTTCTTGTCCATTTTCATTCCATTACACAAGGTCAACTACACACAATGCCAACCTGGATCAGTTTTCGCTCCAGCAAGGATTACCTCCTTCCATTATGCATCCCATCCGATGCGAGAACACAGGCCAAAGGAAGCCAAAGGAAGCCAAAGGAAACCAAACACAACCAAAGGAACCAAAAAGAAAACACACCAAAAAAACAAGACAGGAAAACGCTAGATATCGATCAAGCAAAAGCTCAGCTAGCGCCGACCAGCCAGCATAGTCTGCCGCTTATGCGCTTCCAAAAGACCCAGATCCCACCATCCGTCAATCAGCTCCTTGATCGTCTTCCGCCGCGACTTGGTCGTCGGTCCCCGCCGCCCCAGCTGGTTTCCCGGCTCGGGAGGCGGGGACAACGGCGTGATGGGAGACGACGGCGAAGCCAGCGGGCCGGGCGAGCCGGGGAGGGCAGGCATATACGCCACCGGCACAGCGGTCGTGCCATTCTTTTCCTCGAACCCGTTGACGCCGTCGTCCACAACGACGACCGACGTGGTCCGTATCTCTCTGGGTGCCGTGGCGGGCGACAGGGACAGTGTCCTCGGGGGGTGGTGGTGATGATAGAGGGGTCGGTAGGGGGCTGCTGCATCGGCGTCGGAAGAGGAGCCCTCGCTCGCGCTCGCGCCCCACGTCTTTTCGCGCGACGATGCCCGCATCGCAGACGTGCCGAGGCTCGTCTTGCGCTGAAGACCCGGATGCTCGAGGACGGGCCGCGGGTACTGAAGGGCAGCAGCTGCGGCACCATCCCCCCCGTTCTCATCACGTGCATTCTCATTATCGTCGTCGAATGAAAGCTCCCCCGTCGACGAACTGGCCACCGCCCCCGCCGCGTCGCCACGGCCGCGCCCTCATTGTCCCTCCACATCCTTTCCGGGGACGGGACCCATCTTCAGGCGCCGCCAGAGACAGGCGGACGTGATGGACGACACGGCAAACAGAATGCACAGGGCGATGGAGAGACCCCAGACGGCCTTGATGGCGTAGCACGTCTGGCGGGCGGCGCCGACCCAGACGTAGTACCGGACGATGCCGCTCCTGTCGGTGGTGCTCAGGATGTTCTCGCCCACGGAGGCGATGAAGGAGGGCAGGCCGCCGTCCCTTCGCGGGAGGTCGCTGCAGGTCAGGTAGGAGAGGGGCTTGCCCATGACGACGGCGACGACGATGACGGCGACGAGGAGGGCGGCGTCGGCGGCGGTGGCGATGAGGAGGGGGAGCATGGCGTCCCAGTAGAGGATGTACGAGATGACGACGTACAGGGCGGCGATGACGGCCTGGGCTTTTCGTCAGTATGGAGGGCTCTTAGGGGGGCAAGACAGGGGAATACGTACGACCACCAGGGTGCCGATGAGGACATCGGGAGGCTTGGCCTCTGCGCCGACAATCTCGGCGATGAAATCGGCCGTCATGCCAATGATGCCGACGAGGGAGATGAATTGCATGGCGCGGCTGGCCGTGAAGGCGTGCCCGAGGGCGCCGAGACGAGGCATGGAACCCATGATGCTGGCGGCGCCGTAATCTCCCAAAGAGCAGAGCTCTTCCTCGAGTGCTTCGGGGGAAGTGATCAGAGTGAGTTTGGGTCGCTGTTTGTAGTAGTGCAGTGACGTGCGAGAGGGGAATCGAGGAGGAGGGTGAGGGGTTTAGAAGGGAACGTCGGTGGAAGGAATCTTGAAAGGGTTGAAGGAAAGAAACGCGGGTATATATCCAGATGTGACCCCTTTGTGTATGTCGTGGTTGGTCTGTAGAAAACACCCCGTCTCGTCAAGAGATGCGGGAACAAGAAATGAAGAGGAGATGCCGAAATAAAGTCAAGTCAAAGAAAGGGGCGAGACCGTAAGTTCGTGAGCTTTTTGTTTCCTGTAGTTCGTAGTGATACGTTGAAAGAGTCTTTGTCGTTTTGAAAGAGAGCAATGGAAAGAGAAAGAGGAGACTTTGATGTGCCTGGACCCGAGACGAGACGCAAGGAAAGTGAACGAAAGCCCAAGACCAAGAAAGAAAAGGAAATAAGAAAAGGAAATAAGAAAAGGAAATAAAAAGAAAAATAGAGAGGACAAAAGAAAGGATTGTGTTCTTCTTCGTCTTTGTGGTTGTTCTGCCGAGACAGAAGAGACTAGATCTGAGAAGCCTCGAGGGACACCATCCTTTATACCTTGGTCTACCGTCTATCCAGCTCGACCACCAGAAAGGAATCAGCCGGTTGTCCCAAGTCTAGACCTCGTTCGACGAGATGATCATTACCACATCTTCGTCCAGCTGTCCCGTCTGCCTGGACCCGAACTTCTCAGAGTCCAAAACAACAGCACAAGAGCCGCGTATACCAAATATACATGCAGACACAAATAAACAGAGGGATCAATGATCCAAAGTAACAGACAAGGCAAAACAAAACGCTCGAGCAGCGCTTGGCCTCTTGGGTCCACGGCAAGTCTGAAGTTTGAACCCAGCATCGACCTACCAAACCATCTCCACCGATTCGGCCTTCGGTCTGCCATCTCACCCAACGGGAGCAAGGGGAGGACTCTGCGGCTACTGAAGCAAGCTACCCGCTGGGAGTCCGAAATCCGTGGACCAATCATCGGTCTGACTAGGCAGTTCGGCGGAGCCAGCCGTCTGAAACGGGGCAGGCGCTTAGAGAGCCGCCGGGCTGGGAATAATTGTGGGGGCCCGGCGCCGTGGTCCGTTAACAGGGGATCATCAGCCGCGCAAGGTGAATCTAGACCGTCGGGCCAGACCCATAGTTGAACGAACCGCCCTCCCTTTCGCTGCCCTTCTTCCAACTTGCTCTTTGAACGACAGGGCTGAAACGCTGTACAAGGGGCGATCGACAAGCATCTACATCAACCCGATTAGCAGGCCATCGTGTCTTAGGCCCTGGGGAAGCATCCGTTGCCTGTCGTGCACCACACCACCATCTCGGGCTCCGAAAGTCATTGCTAGTACATAGGACACTGCATTATGGAGTGTATGTTGCGAAAATGGTCCTAACTCTGCACCCTGTTCTGTCATGGAAGATCAGTCAGCAGAAATAGCAGTTTTCACGCGCCCGTACGCCTATCTACTCAAGACTTATCGGCTTTTGGTTTGCTCTGCTTCCTCGAATTCGTACTGAAATCCGTCTCGTTAAACGCGACAATGCCGAGAAAAAGAAAAGAAAAAAAGAAAAAAAAAGGCTCTCTCCCGGGCATAATATCAAGCCTCTCTGCTCGGCCTATTACCCTGGGAGAAAAAATGCTGAATGACTCCCAAAGCCTTCCAAGATATTGTCACCTCGTCCCCTTTCCATGACCTCTGTTCAAAGCGCTCCTCTCCCACCTTTATTCAGCCCAGCAAGTCATCCAGCCCGTTCCCTGTAGAGTTAGACGACCCCCCAGCCGGCTTGGCCGTCGATGAAGCCCCAGCGGGCGCAGCTGCCCCCCAGATGCCAGCGCTGCTCTTTTCCCTGGCCAGTTGGCCCAGTGCCGGTCCGGTCTTGGGTCCCGTCTGTGCCTTCTTCACCCCAGAGCTCGCCTGCGACCACAAAGCGCCGAACACGTCCCCGCCAGGCGCCGGCTTCGATGCCGTCGTCGCCGTCGTAGTGGCAGGCTTAGCACCTGCCATGCCGGACCCCGAGCTGCCAGTCGCCGGCGGCGTGGCGATCGGGACCGATCCGAAGTAGTTGGGCGCCGCAGCCTGGAACCCGCCCACCTTGGGCGCCTGCGGAGCCGGCGACGCCAGGGCAGGGGCGGCGAAGGCCGAGTAGTTGGGTCCGCCCGACGTCGTCGAAGGGGCAGGGGACGTCAGGTTCACGATGTTGCTGACGTTGGTTTGCTGGGGCAGCGCCACGGGTTTGGGCATGGCGAAGGCGGCCGTCGAAGGAGCGGTCGACGTGACGGGGGGTGCCGACGGGGCGCCCGTCTGCGGTGCCGATTGGAAGTCATCAAACTCGTCGTCGTCGTCGTCCGCATTCCGGGCCGTCGTCGACGATAGGCCGGCGAGTCCGGAGCCCATGGACGCCGCCGGTACCGCCGACGAAGTCGAAGCCGGTTCGTCAAACGAGAACAAGTCGACCTCGGGCTCCTTCTTCTTGGGCGGTTCCGGCTTGGCCGTCGTGCGCTCCACCCTCTTCGACCGGGCCGCCGCTGCACTGCTGGTGCTGCTGGAGGCTGCTACTGCTGGTCGCTCCCCCTCGTCAAACTCGTCGTATTCCTCAAACCTGTCGGCACCACCACCCCGCGATCCGCTTGCCGAAGACTCCCCCCGCCAGTCGTCCGACTGGCCCCCAAAGCCGCCGCCATCGCCGTACACGCCGCCCGAGTACCCGCCAAAGGTGGTCTCGCTGCCAAACCCACCATAGCGGCCGCTGCCACCGCCGCCGCCGCCGCCTCCACTCCCACCGGAAAAGCCGCCGCTGCCGAAGCTCCTGCCGCCCTCGACGCCGGTGTACTTGTTCTTGGTGGCGCGCGCCTTCTTCCGTTCGGCCCGGATGCGTTCGACGTCGCTGAGGAGGTCGGTCAGTTCCTTGGCGCGGTTGCGTACGTTGAGGCCCTGGTCCTTGCCGTTCTGGTCGATGTAGTGAAACTGGCGGAGCATCTTCAGGAGGGTGATGTGGCTCCGGGCGTCGTCGATGACCCGCTCCGAACCGTGCTTGACGAGGAACTCAAGTAGCTGGAGGGCCTTGTAGATTTGGCGCCACTCCTCGGCGGACTTTTCGGTGAAGCGGCGGTAGATCACGGGCATGATTTCACTCAAGGTGGAGCTGGACGTGGACGTTGTCAGCTCTGCGTGGGGTGGTTGGGAGGTAAGGACATGACGGAAAGGAAGGGGAGGGAGGGGAGGAGAGGGGTGGGAAGCATTTACTAGTTGAACGTGCCATTGGCAATCTCCTGCATCAACGAAGAAGAAGCCCCCCATGGTTCGTTATTCGTCGCTTCTCTGACTTTGGACTCCATTTCCGTGTAATTCATCACGGCTAGAGAAGATGCCTCGTGTCAGCAGACGAATATCGGTGTAGTTGCATGATGGTCAGCTATGCATACCATTCTGAACTTTTCTAACGCCTGCCTTGACATCATACAAGGTCAGGTTGGAGACGGTGTCTTTGAGGTTGTTCCAATCCATCTTGGGCAGTGGAACTGGCCTAACGATCAAGGGTCAAGAAGATGAGGCGGAACAATGAGGGAGGTGGAGAGAGAGAGAGAGAAGAAGAAGACAGGAAAAAAAAGAAGGGTTGCAAAAGATGGTCGTCGTATTTCGGCGTATTCTCCTTGGTGTAAGAGGAATTCAAGTCAGCTTTCGAACTCCCAGTCGTCGTCTTCAGTAATCACCAAGTCCACCTTCCCACTCGGAGCTGGACGGACAGCCTGGAACTTTCGGCTTCGGGGGCGTCGAGGAGGAGGCTCGAAATCACGTGACTATCAGAGTAGTGATTAGATAAGAAGGCATTGGTAAGGTACAGCGTACACAGTACGGAGAAGAACATACGGATATGTGGAGTATATAATCACTCCTGGCAGACCACATTCCCATGGTGTCTACCTTGGTCATTCGGCATTTCAAGCATGTAACAATTCGACGACGAGTCATCATGCTACTTTTGATCTCAGTAGGAATGCTGGTGGAACAGATTGGGGATGTGCACGGAGTGCTCTGTCTTTCGTGTCCGTACTCAGTACCTGAGTATCCGTAATTACCTTACCTAAGGTAGTACCTTATATTACTAGGTACTTAAGGTGTACATACAAATTAGGTGTGGTACTTCGGTAGCTTATCATGTTGGCGGGCCCCACCATTTTACTGGCCAAATAGGCATCTGTACTGGCTCCCTACCTTATTAGTAAGGCCCTATTTATATTCTGACAGGAAAAGTACTCCAGTACGAAAGTAATTCCGGAAAAATCGCCCAAAAGAAAATAAATAAAGAAGAAATTAATTTCTGTACTGCCCGTATTACTACGAAGACTTTCCTCGCCCGTCTTTTTCTACCAAAACTTCTTCTCAGCTTTTACCATCGTGTATTCGTGCTCGCCAGTGTAACACTACCTTATCAACTGATTTCTTCAACCCTCACTTGTACAGTATCTTTCTACTCGACTCTTAATCAATTGGACCAGGTGCGTGTTGAAAGCTTTTCTTTGCTGTTGAACTTTTGGTCCATTACCATCAGTCACTCCCATCAACTTCCCACGGCTCCCTTTCCTATTGTCCTTGCAACACCCCAAGAGACACACCGTTTGTCAGGACTGTCCTGGCTGGTCACCTCACTCCCTCAGCTCGGAATCCCGAGAAGCGCAGCGCGAATGGCTTTGTACGTGTCGCGATGAGTCGGACTCAATTGCCCCGTTGCGTCGGGTAGCTACCCTACAGAACAAAAACGGGCTTTCTTCCGATCTCCGGGCGTATCCGTACATTTCGTGCACATCGTACATATTGCACCATTTTTTTTTCTTCTTCTTTTTTTCCCTTTTCCCCAAGGAGGGTACAGTTCTTTTGTATCCTGGAGCGAGGAAAATCAGCCGTTACGATTGTACGAAGTACTTGGGACTCGTTGGTTTCTCTGGGGACCTTGGTCTTGCGTGGGAGAATGTTGCAGGACTACCTCGTCTTTCTGGTCCCTCTGCGCCAATGGGCATTCGGCTTGGCTGCTCCTGCATACGAATTCCCTAGCTGGCTTCCAAGCTGTTTGGCGAAAAACAGGGAGGAGGGCAGAAAGAAGACGCAGCTTTGTGAGAGGTTCTTTCGAATTCGAATGTTTCCATTGAGCTCGAGTTGCATGGACAATGGACGTTTGAGATGACTGGATAACACCACGCAACAATCTCCAAAGTCATGGCCCCCTCGATCGAAGACAGAAGAGAGCCAAGAAGCTTTCCCTTGAACACCGAATATCGGTGCGAGGCTTTCAGCTCTCTCTCTGAACCTGAACACCTGGTTTGCTGTCCCATTGCACTTGGCACCACATCCACACCGCTGAAGCTCTTCAGACAGGTCATGAAGTCATGACCAATCACCTGCGGGTCATATCGGGCCCGTCGGTTCAGGAGAAATGCACCGAGTACGGAGTACGTACCTCTACGGAGTACCTTGGACGGAACCTGAACTTTGTCTTCTTTGTCTTCGTATACCCGTACACCGTCTCTTCCTTCCCCCCTACCTATTCATCATCACCTCATCTCATCGCCACAGCAACCCTTCGCCCATTCTCTTGTTCTTCCTGCTTTTTCTGGGGGGCCTAATTTCACGTGATTCGGGTTGCCCCACCCGGTTGCTCCTCCTCCCCCGTTCCCCACCCGTCCACTTATTCTCCCGTCGGCGATTTGCTGGAACCAGTACGAGTGGTGGGGGAGCTCATTACGCTGACATCGGATTCTACCCCTCCCTAGTTCCAATCGGCTACAGAAATTGTGTATGTTGTACTCGTACATTGTGGAAACAGCTCACAGCTCCCTCCTTCCCGCCTTTGTTATTCATAGGTACCTAGGCACCTAGGTAGGTACCACGCACCACGCAAGGTACCTCGCAACCCCTCAGCAACCAGACCAGGAAAAGAGAAAAAAATAGAAGAAGGGACCCAAAAAAATGAGACCTGCCGCCTCCATCCTTCGACCCCTCCTACCCCGCCATCATAACCTCTTCTGTTCTTCCGCTTCACTCTCTCCCCTTTCTCGACCTTCCACCTTCACCAAGCCAATTCGGTCTCCCATTATCCCATCCAACACCAAGCTTCCCGTCCGCTTCTTCGCCTCTACCGCCAACATGTCCGGTCCTCAGGTGTAAGCCCAGACCCTCGTTTGCTAACCCACTGCTCGTTTTTTCTTCGTAACGCAAACATCATGCTGACCTGGTTGTTATTTTCCCCCGTCACCAGTTATTTCGACATCGAGTGGGAGGGTCCCCATTACGACCCCAACGCCGGCAGGGCTACTGGCAACCCCGAGCGTAAGCCTCTTCTCTCCCTTCCCCTTTCTACGAATGTCGTCAAACAAACCCAGACCCATCCAAATGTGCTTTCCTGGGTTGGTCGTGCTCTGGGCCGTGGTCTGGGCTGTGGTCTGGGCTGTGGTCTGCGGTTCGAGCAGTAGCTCTGTGGACGCAATGCTTCTACTCGCTCGCTCGCTCGCTCGCTCGCTCATGTCCCAAGATGGCAATGTCGGCCTTTTCCTATTGCGATGCGATTGGATTACCCTGTCTCTATCGAACCCTCGCTGACCATCCCATTTTCCTTAACAGCCCAGTCCGGCCGCGTCACCTTCAACCTGTTCTATGACGTCGTTCCCAAGACTGCTGAGAACTTCCGTGCTCTCTGCACCGGCGAGAAGGGCTTTGGCTACCAGGGCTCTTCCTTCCACCGTGTCATCCCCGAGTTCATGCTCCAGGGTGGTGACTTCACCCGTGGTAATGTACGTCTGGACATGCCTCCGTCTATTGTCTCTCTCTGCTCTTCTCATCCGGGAGAGAAGGCTAACCCGAGGATGAAAACAGGGCACCGGTGGCAAGTCCATCTATGGCGAGAAGTTCCCCGATGAGAACTTCCAGCTGAAGCACGACAAGCCCGGTCTGCTCTCCATGGCCAACGCCGGCCCCAACACGTAGGCTGCCGTCC